AGCGAGAACACCCGGCTGGCTACCCGCTATGCCGTGCGCATCTTCCGGGAGTACCTGAGCGAAAAGGCTCAGAGCCCGGACTTCGAGACCATGGACAAGGGGGCGCTGTGTCGCGTGCTGCGCTCCTTCTACGCCGAGGCCCGTTCTAAGAGCGGCCAGCTCTACAGCAAGTCCTCGCTCATCAGCATCCGCAGCTCCCTCAACCGCTACCTCAACGAGCCCCCGTACTGTCGCACGCTCGACCTCACCAAGGACCCCGAGCTGCGCAGTGCCAACCTGACTCTAGCCGCAGTCATCCGCAAGCTCGAGGAGCAGGGCGCGGGGCCGGTGGTGCAGAAGCAAGCCATCACGCGAGCCGACCTGCGCAAGCTCTACACCTCCAGCGTCTTCAGCACCAACACGCCCTTTGGGCTGCTCAACAAGGTCTGGTTCGAAACCTGCATGTACTTCTGCACACGCGGCCGCGAAAACCAGCGCGAGCTGGAGGAGGACTCCTTTGGGCTGGCCATGGACGAGGACGGTCGCAAGTTCGTGTACTTCAAGTCGCTGGGGCCTTACCACAAGTCGCGCTCCTCGTCCTGGAGTAAGAAGCGAGCGGAAAGCAGCGACGAAGAGAACTTGCCGCGCATGTACGAGACCGGCACTGAGTTCTGTCCCTATGCCAGCTTTGTCAAGTACCTGTCGAAGCGCAATCCCCTCTGTAAGGCATTCTTCCAGCGGCCACGGGACCACTGCAGCGAGGGCGATGTGACCTGGTACGAGAACAAAGCCATAGGCAAGAACTTGCTGGGCACCAGGATGCAGATGCTCTCCAAGGCTGCCAAGCTGTCCAAGACCTACACTAACCACTGCATCGGCGCGGTGTCCATCGCCACGCTCAACAGCATCGCGGGCATCGGGACCAAGCTAGGCTCCCCGGCTCCGCAGGGCTGCTATACCGAGGCTCTGAACGGGTCATCTCGTCACCACTCCCACCATCCCCCCACCCATCCTTCCCACCACCACCGCCCCCAGCCGCCCTCGCTGGGGAACACTTATATCCTCCCCAAAGACAGCCAGGTCGGGCCCGACGTGAAATCCGAGGCTGCACCCAAGCGCGCACTGTATGAGTCAGTGTTTGGGTCCGGGGAAATCTGCGGCCCTTCTTCCCCCAAAAGACTTTGTATCCGTCCTTCCTCGGAACCTGTGGATGCGGTGGTGGTGGTTTCCGTGAAACACGACCCCCTGCCTCTTCTTCCAGAAGTCAATGGGCACCGAAGCACCAATTCTCCCACCATAGTTTCGCCTGCTATTGTTTCCCCCACCCAGGTAACCAAACCAAAGCCTATGCATGAAATACTTGTCTGTTACACTTCAGGACTAACTTTTGTGCTCCCGTTGGTCGCGGTTGGGGAGGGGATTTTTTTTAAGTAGTCGCTATACTGCACTGGGTTTGATACAGTCCCTAGAAATGTAATTCTTCGTGTTTTGGGGGAAACTCTAGCCTTAACCTTAAAAGATGCCAGTGGGCCTTAGCTTCCAAGTCTCTGCATCGAAGTAACAAATTAACGCTAGAAACCTCAGAGTTCTCAGAACAAAAGGTTTAAGCTCATTCTTGAAGTGCCTCTCCATGATGCCTGCGTCTTATAAGGGAAGGATTGCCAGAGTGCAGAATAGAGGTAGTTATCTTAAGTAAATTAGAATGGAGTTACTTTTAAAATGCTCCATTACATACTCGCCATAACTTCTAAAGGTAGAAAAATAAGCTTCTAAATTATTAAAAAGAAAACATGCCAATTCGACTTCCTGTAGATTGCTTTTGTTGTTGTTAAAGAAAAGGGGCGGAGATGCAGCGGCAGGCAGTGGAGTGCCTGTTTATTCTTTTAACATGCAGCCGCGTGTACTGCGACCTTTGGGGTGTCGCTCCCATTAGCGTTGCTAACAATACTCAGATGGGAAAGTGATGGCTGAGCTACGGACATGAAACACAGATGTGCAGTTGTGACGTGTCAAGCTGGCTGTGGGCACTGAAACAGGTCTATTCATCCCTAACCTGTAGAGATTCACTATCTGGAGCCCAAACAAGGAAGAGAGGGGGTGGGGTGGGGGAGGAGTCAGCCCAGAGTAAGTGACTAGCCGGACAAGGCTAAAACTTGGACAAATCAGTTCACCTGTCTGGGCTTTAGATATTGTCGTTGAACCTGAAAGAAACCCACAGCAAAATTCCTTAATCAGTGACAGCAGTGTGTACAGAGATGGCCTGCATGCTAGAGTCTTTCCCCTGCTGCTGTGCCTGGAGAAGCCTGCTCACCAGACTGGTTGGGTTATGTTCCTGTCTTGGGTGCTTCTTCAGAAGGCAGACATGGGGACTCTCTTGTGGCCCCGTTTGTTGGCAGGAGTCACGGGAAGTTTTTGCCTTCTTGACCCCCCCCCCCCACACACACACACACATACTATCAGCAGAAATAGGAGAAATAGTGAGGCCCATCACTACCTGTGTGCTCTTTCTCCAAAGTGGAAATTCCAGTTCTGGACAAACTGACCCTTTCAGAGGCTTAGGCATGCCTCAAGGCGGCCAGGAGGGCTGTGAGTGGCTTCTAAGCCCACAGAGCCTGCGGCTATGTGTCCTGTGCTTCTCTGTGTGGTTCATTCTGTCAGGAGTTGTTTCAAAGAACTTTAAGGATGGAGAGTCGAATTGGAGTTTACTTTTTCTTTGAAAGCAAAACAAAAATGTTCACATTCTTCTAATAAATATCCTTCAAGTGCCCTGGGTTAAAAATCACACCTGATTGAGAGTGTTAACACCAAGAATGTATATTAAATATGTATGTATGCTGGACAGTAATGAGATGGTCAGTTCTGGATATTGGTGTCATGTGGGTGTGTGGGTCCATAACAGTTTTTTTTGTTTGTTTTTCTCCTTTTTTCCTGGCTTTTGTTTTTAGCGCACCCTTCCACCCCCTTCACTGTGTTCATTTACCCTAGTGAGCTAAACCAGCCTAGAAAACTTGATACTGAGACTTTTATTATTCTCAAGTCACTGTCAGGCAGCTCCCAAGTTAAATAGAGATACGGGTATATTTTACTTACATGATTACTAACCATGGCTGTCCAGCAAGGTTTTAGCTGCTAGGCTCTTTTAGTTACAACTACAGAAAAGGGGTTCTATTTGTGCTTTTTTGGGGGGGTTCTAAAGATCAAGCCCAGGCCCCTGTGCATAATAGGCAGGTGCTGTATTGAGTTCCACCCCCAGCCCTGTTTGCATGTGTTTAGTAGTCAACTTTTCAGTCAGAATACAGTAGAAAGCATTTCTGCTTTTAAGAAACCAGCAGGTTTAACAACTGGCTTCTGCAGAACTCACTCGAAGGGCCCCGAGCATTCTCATCACGAAACACATTTGCTTTATGTAGAAAGATCCACTAAACTTTACCTTTGGCATCATTAATCTTTGCAGATTAATGATGGTCAAGGTTAGTGGTCAATGGCAACATGGAAGGATCCATTCTTCTCGGTCACCTCCACCCTTGGAGATGCCCAGACTTTGAACTCCAACTGTATTCTTCGTAATACCACCCTCACACAGCACGTAACCATGGCTATGCCCTGGTTTTCCTGACGTACTCACCTGTCATAAAGTTTGGTTTAAGCATCAGGCACAATAAGAGATAGACAGTAGTGCCTTTTGGTAAAAGTAGGACCAGTACAGTATCCTACAAGAAAACTTATCTAATACTCATCTTAAAACTTATCTAAAACTTGTTTATTTCTGGAATTTCCCATTTAATATCTTTAGACCGTAGTTGACCTCGGGAAGGAGAACTATGGGTAAAGGATGAACAATCTCCTTGCAAGGGTGTTAACAAATGTCTTCATCTATGGGAAAGGTAGAAAAATGAATACACCCAAGAACGAGTAGGAGGATGGAGTAAGTGAGTTTCGGTGGAGTTGTCTGCTTTGGGAGGGTGATGGTAACTGACAGACAGGGCTACCATCTCCTTAGTGGTGTTAGCAGTCACGCCACTTTATGTCCGTCCCCTCCCCCTGCACAGTGTCGTGATGATCAAGTTTTTGGTAGTAATTGCTCGCTCTGCTCCACCTCATTATTTATTTCAGTGTCTGGGAACTGAACCCAGGGCTTTGCGTATGTTGAAGATCTCCATTTAAAAATGTAACGCCATCAATTACAGTCACACA